CCCCCCCCCCCCCCCCCCCCCCCCCCCCCTCTCGCTGGCTCCTTCCCAATCGGTGTGGGAATAGCATGTCTATATTTCAGAGATAGTTGTTTTGGCATGGGTGAATTAAATAAGTTCTAGCTAGCACTATTAATTCAGCCGGCTAGCGCCAGTAATCCAGAGAGTTAGCTTCAAATTTAGTGAACAACGGTTCAACAAAACTACGAACAAACTGACCTTCTAAATAGCACTATTTTTATTCCTACTTTTTTTTACCATTTCAAATAATGATTCTAACAGTTCATTGTTGCCGAAACGATTATTGCTTTCTTTTTTTTTTTCAATCCTCATCCTCAAAAATGCCCTCAGCTAAATAATTTCCTCAAATTCTAGCAAAAAGAAAGGGGGAAAAAGCTTACGCTGAACAATGATGGTAGCAGTGGATTCCATTGTACCAATTTCATTTGTTACTTGGCATGTATAATTACCAGCATCTTGAAATGTGATTTCAAAAATGTCTAACGTAACAAAGCCAAAATCACTTGATATCCGTATTCTATCACCTGTAATTAAGCATTTCAGAATTAACAGAAATCTAAAAAATAAAGCACTCAACAATCTAACTTCGTTTTCACAAATACCAATAGTCACAGTTATGAAAAAATCATAGTATCCTGAAAGATTTGGAGTAGTGTTGTAGGGGAAAAGATAGACAAGAGGTAGCAGGAACTCACTGGATTTCAAAGGCTTTCCATTGAAAAGCCATGTAATTTTCAAATTTGGATCATTGGCAGGCGAAAATTTAGCTTCCAGGTGGACAGGCTGTCCATCAAATACTTCCATCGATCGTAGTTCCGTGTGAAAATTTGGCATTTCGGCAATCGGCGTCCCGAATTTACGCACTTGAGATCGATCATACTCCGTAATATTTGAGGCATCCATTAAAGCACCGCGATGTCCTGAAAAAGACAAAGTAAATAGTCGATCCCAAAGTACAGCAGTTTTTCTACAGCAAATATTTTAATTAGCACTTTCAGTTCAGTTGCTTGATCCGCACTGAAATGATACTTGGGGGCGCATAATTCTTGATGCGGAGAAGAGACGGGGAAGAGGGGCGGGGGGAAACCGCAGCAAGAAGTACGATGATAAAACAGCAAATATGTGAAGTAATAAAAGA